AAACCATGATCAAAAAAGAGCCTAGACATCATCTTTCAAGAAATTATCAAGGAAAACTGCCCTGATATTCTAGAATCAGAAGATAAAATAGAAATGGAAAGAATCCACCAATCACCTCCTGAAAGAGATCCCCAAAAGAAAACCCTGAGGAATACTATAGCCAAATTCCAGAGTTCCCAGGTCAATAAGAAAATTTTGCAAGCAGCCAGAAAGAAATGATTCAACTATTGTGGAAACACAATGAGGATGACACAAGATTTTGCAGCTTCTACATTAAGGGATTAGAGGGCTTTGAATATGATATTCTAGAGGGCAAAGGAGATAGGATTACAACCAAGAATCACCTATCCAGCAAAACTGAGTATAATCCTTTAAGGGGAAAAATAGACATTCAGTGAAGTAGACTTTCAAGAATTCTTGATGAAAAGACCACAGCTGAATAGAAATTTTGACTTTCAAAGACAAGACTCAAGAGAGCATGAAAAGGTAAACAGGAAAGAGAAATCATAAGGGACATAAAGGATAGATAGATAGATAGATAGATAGAGGACACAGGATGAGTTGAAGATGAAGGGATGATATCTAAAAAAGAATTAAAAGGTGAAAGAGATTGATTAGAGAAATGCAAATCAAAACAACTCTGGGATACTACATCACACCTATCAGATTGGCTAACATGACAAAAAAGGAAAATGATAAATGTTGGAGAAGATTTGGGAAAACTGGAACACTAATGCATTGTCGGTGGAGTTGTGAAATGATCCAACCATTTTGGAGAGCAATTTGGAACTATGCCCAAAGAGCTATAAAAATGTGCATACCTTTTGACCCAGCAATATCATTCTAGGGCTGTATCCCAAAGAGATCATACAAATGGGAAATGGATTCACATGTACAAAAATATTTATAGCAGCTCTTTTTATGGTGGCAAAAAATTTGAAATTGAGGGGATGCCCATCAATTGGACAATGACTGAACAAGTTGTGCTATATGAATGTAACGGAATATTATCGTGCCATAAGAAATGATGAGCAGGCAGACTTCAGAAAAACCTGACGCTGCACTGATGCTCAGTGAAGTGAGCAGAAATCAGGAGAACATTATACACAGTAACAGCAATGTTATGTGATGACCAACTTTGATAGACTTTGCCCTTCTCAGCAATGCAAGGATCTAGGACATCTCCAAAGGCCTCGTGATGGAAAATGCTATCCACATCCAAAGAAAGAACTATGAAGTTTAAATGCAGATTGAAGCATACTATTTGCTCTTTTTTTTCTTTTGTTTTTCTTTTCTCTTTTCTTTGTTTTGTTTCCTCTTTCTGGTGGTTCCTTCTATTGGTTCTAATTCTTCTTTCAACATGACTAATGTGAAAATATGTTTAATAGGAACGGATATGTAGAGCATGTATTAGATTGCACACCATCTTGGGGAGGGAGGGAGGGAGGGAGGGGAAGAAAAATTCAAAAATCAGAAGCTTATGGAAATGATTGTTGATAAATCAAAATAAATAAATAAATAAGGGGGAAAAACAAAAACAAAAAAAGGGTGAGAGGATTATACTGGGAGGAGAAAGGGAGAGGTAGAATGGGGTAAATTATCTCACCTAAAACAGACAAGAAAAAGCTTTTTCAGTGGAGGGGAAGTGGGGGAAGGTGAGAGGAAATCAGTACATCTTATTCTCGTAAGATTTGGCTTAAGGAGAGAATAACATACACACTCAACTGGGTATGGAAATCTATCTCACCCTACAGGAAAATAAGGGGGAAGAGGATGGGGAGGGACGATAGAAGGGAGGGAAGATTGGGAGAGGGGGTCATCAGAAGCAAACACTTCTGAGGACGGACAGGGTCAAAAGAGAGAATAGAATAAATGGGGGGGGTGACATAGGGTGAAGGGAAATGTAGTTAGCTTTTCACAACATGACTGCTATGAAACTGTTTTGCATGACTGCACATGTATAACCTGTATCAAGTTGCTTGCTATCTCAATGCGAGTAAGTGGGGAAAGAAGAAGGGAGAGAATATGGAACCTAAAACTTTAAAAAACAAATGTTAAAAATTGTTTTTACATGCAACTGGGAAATAAGTTATACAGGCAAGGGGGTATAGAAATCTATCCTGCCCTACAAGAAAATAGAAGGGGAAGGGGATAAGAGACAGTGGGGGGGAGTTGATAGAAGAGAGGGCAGATTAGGGGAATGGGTATTCAGAATGCACACTGTCTTGGGGTTGGGGAGGGATGAGTTGGGGAGAAAATTTGGAACTCAAAATCTTGTGGAAATGAATGTTGAAAATGAAAAATCAATTAATTAATTAATTTTTTAAAAGAAGAACATGAGAAAGCCACACAGTGGAAGCTCGCCATGTGATGAGCAGCAACAACATGAGGGCGCCTTCTACTTCTTCACTGCACGTTCACTGTTAAAGTTACATGAGTGTCTGGCGCTCTCTCCAAGGTCAGACACTCAGTTCAGTATTTCTTTGTATGTGAGCAGTTGCTGTGGAGATCTGTTGCTTTTAACATTACAATTTGGGGGTGACCGTAAAACGAGTGATAAAAAGAAATGGAAGATTGAATCAACACATCGAGTGTTTAATCCAGAGTGGACAGACAGATACTTGTTTATTTACATGAGAGACAAAATATTATGCCTTTTTTTGTCTAGTAGTAATAGCCATTCAAAAGGAATACGATATTCGTCACCATTTCAAATCAAAACATCCTGACTTAGGCAAATTGGACACCGATGAAAATCAAATTAAAGTGTCCAAATTACTGAAAAATCTCAGTGGGGAAGTCAAGAAAGTAAACACAGTAAATGAGGCAACTACTAAGATCAGTTTTCAGATTTCTAAAGAAATTGCTGCTGCTGGGAACTCTTTTACTGAAGGTGACTTCACAAAGAAATGTTTCCTGATTTCAGTTTCTGGATCATGTCCCAATTAAAAAAAAAGTGTTTTAGATAATATGTTTGTCCTGTATGACAGCGCAGCAATGAGTAGCTAATATATCCAAGTATTAATAAGTGTAATTAATTGATATTAATTAGAATTTCCCCTTTTTAACACAGTTTATTTGCAAAAATAGTTTAATCATTAATTATACCTATACTTGGAAAGTGAGCCACTAAAAATCTATCTGTGGCTCAAAGAAGTTTAGCCTACTTTAATTTTGGCCCCTACCTACTGCCAAGTTGTCCAGGTCTGGCCTAGAGTCTGGAAGATCTGAGTTCACATCCAGCCTCAGACACTTACTAACGGTCAGACCCTGGGCAAGTCACTTAACTTCTGTTTCCTCAACTGTATAATGGGGATAGTAACAGCACCTACCTTGAGGGTTGTTATGAGGATCAAATGAGATCACATTTGTGAAGCACTTAGCAAAATCCTGGTGCATAGTAGGCACTAGAGAAATGCTTATTCCTTTCCTTCCCTCATACTCTACTAAGGAAGGCCATTCAACATAATTTCCCTCTCGCCCACTCCATCACTCAATACCCTTCCTCACACCCCCTTGTCTCCTCCTTTACTCCAAACTCTCATGGTCAGCTAAGGCGTCTCTCCACTGAGTCCAACATCTCTACATGTGTCCTTGGTCTGATCTTTTCCAGCAGATTATCCCCTCATTGATTCCCTGCTGTCCCTTTAATTTTCATTTCCCCCTATCTGATGGCTTCTTCCTGGATATCTAGAAACATACTTCCTTAAGAAGTCTTCATTAGGGACAGCTGGGTGGCACAGTGTATAGAGCTCTGGCCTTGGAGTCAGGAGGACCTGAGTTCAAATTCAGCCTCAGACATATAACACTTACTAGCTGTGTGACTCTGGGCAAGTCACTTAACCCCAATTGCCTCACAAAAATAAATAAATAAATAAATAAATAAAAAGGAGTCTTCATTAGACTCTACCATCTCCTCAAGCAATCATTTTATATCATTCCCAGATTTCTCAGGAAAACTCCTACAAAGTTGGTCATGATCCTTTTCTAACTCTTTCTCCTCTCACTCAGGTTTCAACACTTTGCACCCTGGTTTCTGACCTCATCACTCAGTGGAAAGGACTCTCTCAGAAGTTATCAACAGTCTCTTAATCACCAAATGTGGTGGTCTTTCCTTTACGCTCATCCTTCTCAACCTCCCTGCAGCATTGGACACAGTTGCCCCCCTTCTCCTCCTGGATGCTTTGGATTGTCATGAGGCTGTACTATCTTGCTTATTTGGCAGACAGCTCGGTGGAGCCTTTTCTGTCTCTTCTGCCAGCCCATACCATGCCCCATTGCTTATAGTGTGCCCCAAAACTCTGTCCTAGGTGCTTTTGTTTTTTCCCTCTGCACATTCCCTCTCAGGGAGCTCAGAAGCTTCTATGGTCCTAATTCTCCAGTTTAGGATTGCTCTCATGACTATGTATCTGTAAGTCTCCTTTCTGAGTTCAACTTCCACATCATCAATTATCCATTAGCCCTTTTCAACTGGATACCCTGGAGCTAGCACAAACACTCCATGTACAAAAGAGAACATATTATCTATTTATTTATCTATCTATCTATCATAGAATATACCTACATATGACATATAGAGAATTATATAACTATCAACACATAGCTATATAACTATACAGAGAATTATCTACACATATAGCCCGATATCTATATTATGACTATATAGTTACATATGTCTAAACATGTAATATATAGACATATGTCTATAATCTTGATATTTAGACATATAATACCTTTTCCTGACTCCAGAGCACAGAGTTGTATACATTTGTTAGTAAAAGATATTGCTGCCAATATTTCTGCCCAAAAAGTGAGGCGTATTCTGGAACTGACTGTCACGTAGAAACAAGGAACCTCCAAAGAATTTAATTTTCAATAATGCTTTTACAAAGAAATTGGGGAAACCCGCTGTAGCATAATAATTTGCATGAAATTCCAGCTCTCTGGGACTGTCAACACAGCATCCTTGGCAGAAATCAAAAAATGACAAATGACATGGGTGAGGATGAAAATTATTTATTTCTATCAGTGTAGTTAAATGAAGGAGACATTCCCATTATCCCTCCAAGAGCCATGTTATAGAAGGGAAAATAAGTTCAATCCCCAGCTCTCAGAAAAGGAAAGTGATTTCACCAGCAATCCCATCTTCACAGGGTTTTCTTGATCATTTTGATAATTTCATAGTAAATTGTTTGAGGTGCGTCAACACCAAAAACAAAAGCCAAATGATCAAATGCAGGCAGAATCTTGTGGTAAATAATCTTGGGGATTTGGGGGATTAAGCTGGAGACATCTTTTGGGTCAGCCATCAAATCTCTTAGACCACTCCACAGCGCAGTTGGCACTTTCATTGTTGATAGGTTGTAAGTTAGAGGAATCGTCTGCATGGACACAAAAGAGGATAAGAGTCTTCCCAGAGAGCACAGTTCAACATCCTATCACTTCTAAGGGGCAGCCAATTCTTTATATGATTTTTTTAAAAGTGCTTTACATACTTCTTCCTTTCTGCTAAATGAGACAGTCATAACCAAAACCCATAATAAAACTTTATCATTAATTATTATTATTATTGTTATCATTATTTTAAAGAAAAGTACCATTATGATGTGGTCCAGGGGAACACATTATTTCTTGGTAAATAATCATTAATTAAAATAAAATACATAATTGTATTTTTAAAAATATATATTCATATTTATGATACAAATACATATATATGATACACATTTGTGCATTAATATATTGATGTTTATGTATATTCATTCTTTTATATATGAAATTCATCTCTCTCTATATAATAGTATACACACACACACACACACACACACAACACACGTGTAAATTATTCTCCTCCATACACTAAATCTGAATAAGGCTAGGATTTGGCCCACATTCCAGAAGAATGTCTTTTTTTTTTTTTAATCTGGTCACTGGACTGGAAGGTTTAGGGATGCTCTGAGGTCAGGGGATTTATATTTTGTCCAGGTATGGGGCCAAGTTTTCATGGCATCTGCATGAATAAGATAGATACTTGTACATTAAAGGTTGCTAATAATGAGGTGGTTTTGTAGGTATTTCAATGATCATCACCAAAGAATATTGGGGGGCACTGTAAGAAAGGAGAAACAGGGCTGGGTTGGGGCCAGAAGACCTGGCTTTGAACCCTAGTTTGCTATTTACTATTTGTATGCCCTAAGGCAAATCACTCATTCTCTCCCTGGGCCTCAGTTTCTACCTCTATAAAAGGAAGGGATTGGTCTAGGTGACCTCTGAGGTTTCCTATAGCTCATAACCTATGAATTGTTCTTGAATGTGGCCTAATTTCATAGAAATTAAGAAGAAAAGAATAAATCAAGTATTTACTCAATGTGCCAAGCACAGGAATGTCACTCCCGGGTAGCATTCCTTAAAATATAAAATCATACAGCTTTATAGCTTGAAGAAATGTTACAAATCAGCTTCTGGAATTCTTAACCTGAGGGTCTCTGAACCCTTTTCCCCCGTAATATTGGTTCAATGATATTTCAATATAATTAATCTCCTTTGTAAACCTAGGTATCTTATTTCATGCATTTCTCTATACATCAATAATCAGTCAATAAGCATTTATTAAGCATTTACTATGTGCCAGGTATTGTGCTAAATACTGGGATTCAAAGCAAGGCAAAAACCCGGTGTCAGCCCTCAAGGAGCTCCTGTTCTAATGGGAGAGACAAAACAATGTGTACAAAGAGACAAGAGAAGTGGAGATGATATCTCAGGGAAGGCCTGAGATGGTGGAGGCCTGGGAAAACCTTCTTACAGAAGGGGGGATTTCTTATCGAAAGGGGAGCCCATCAGCTTCCCCAGACTTCTCAAGGAATCCATGACACAAAAGATGGTTTAAAATCCTGATCTGGACCAACTTGATCATTCTATAGATGAGGAAACTGAGTCAGTGAAATGCCAAGTGACTTTTCCATGGTCACAGAGCTAGTTGGTACCTAGAGTGAGAATTAGAAATCTAGGCTCCTGATTGTCTTCATTAATTGACTCTTTAAAAAGAAAAAGTTCCATTTTTTAAAGAAAAATTACCTGATTATAATGAGCTAAATTCTCTTTGGGACTCCTCCAGTCATAAGGTGACAGTATTTGTCGAATTTCATGAAAAGCCTAAAGTTGAATCAACACAAAGGAAGAAACACAGGAAGTGAAACACTGTCCATCCTTGAGTTCAACAGATTAAAAACCTACTATGTCCAACCTGTCAAAATGAAAGAGGATAGACATTATTACTCTCCATAGGGACTATACATCCTAGACTTTAGTGGGTAAATAATTGGGGGGATCTTCACGCCCCTTTGGGCTTCCCTGCTGCACTGACAAAGTCAAGAGTGTACTACCTGAGAATAGATAAGCCAGGTTACCTGGAGCTCGAAGCCCCCTCTGATGGCTGCTGGCCTTTGGATCCAATCCTAAGGACCCTTTGGAGTTTAGGTCATCTCTAGGAAACCAGAGCTGCCCTTGTTGGGGATGGAGGGGTCAGGTGAAATGTAAATATGGAGTTTTCCCTGGGCAGCCTTTCCTTTGGGATTTCATTCTAGCTCAGGCTACCTGCAGAGGGGACACATAGCTTCCTGGTGATGTGGAGAAGACATGGAGTCCAGGGGTGGGTGGAAAGGGCAATCGGTGCCACACCTGAGATACTTTGCTAACTGTAGCTCAGCCTGTTTCTGTCCCTAGAATAGCTTCTCTCATAGGATCCCTGAAGCGTGCAGAAAATATGAAATATCCTCTGATAGAAAAGATGAAAATCCACGAGAAACCAGTCACTTACAACAAGCTTATTTTTATATACAGAAAAACCCAGCCAAACCCATTGAAGGAGGCAGCTGGCACTAAGCAGAGGGGACCCAACCACACAGAGCTTTCCCTGGGAGCCACCTGCAGAAAGCTGAGGGCTCCAATCAGGCACATGAGACACCTGTAGGGCCCAAGACCTGGAGACTAGGTTGTTTTTCCAAACTTTGCGGAAGTTTTTCATGAAAGGGATGGAAGGAAGGACAAAGGTCTTCAACTTTGGAATCTAGGAACTTTGAAAAAATGGTACCTGGGAGAAATGGAGAATGTTCTGGATAGATGTTCCCCCTGGATTATGTGCCACATATACATCAATTCGACTCTAGGAGGAAAAATCAATAACTTATTTTCTCTACAAAGTCAGCTGTGAGGGGCCATGACAGCATGATCTTAAGGCTCAGTCAGCAGAGCTCAAGGTTGGGCAGATGCTGGTATGCTGGAAAGGTCTCAAGACCAGTCCTGGCTACAAGCTGGGCTTCTCTCTGAGGACCAGCCTGGCTAAGCCTAAAGAGGCTCACCTCCATTTCACTAGTCATTTGATCACATATTCTGTGGCCACAGCAATCCACAAAACCAAGAAAAAAATGTTTCCTGTACAAGAAGAAATGTCCCTGAAGAAAAGAAGGATGAGAAAAGCACCCAGACTGGACCGAGTCTCTTCTGGTACACTGGGGAAAGTGTGGGAAGGGACTAAGGAGTTGTGGGGGCACTAAGGAGTCAGGCCATAAGGGATATGGATAGCAGGAAGATAACAAAGGCATGGAAAAAATGACAAAGTGTATTACCAAAAAAGGCAATGAAGAAATGACCAATTATCCCAACGCAGATCATTATTTTCACACAGACAGAAAAATTTCTGCTAATAGTGTCCTCATTTACTGAGAGCAGTAGAACAGAACAGACTGTGTCTTAGGAGTGATATTCCACAGTAGACAACACCTTTACTGTAACACAATGACAATATGCAGAGGAAGCAAGATTTCGTTGTTCTGGTTTGTTGTGTATAAAAAAGCTTTTCATATGAGAGAATGAACATTGACCTAAAGCAGAGTTCTCAAACTTGTTTTGTTTGTTTTTTGCATCACAGGCCCCTTGGGCAGGCTGGGGAAGCCAAGGAATCCCTACTTGGAAAAGTGTTTTTAATGTATATAATAAAATCCATGCATTAGGAGGAAACCAAAAGTTTAGTGAAACATAAAGATACATTGTTTTTCTGTCCAAATGCATCAATTCCCTGAAATCTATCCCAAGCCTCCTAAGGGGCCTCTGCATTCAAGGATCTCTTCCCCCAAGATGTCTGCCACCCACATATAAAAAGCAAACAAGATTCTTTGTAAGGCCAAGCATAACAAGAGGGATCATGTTGCTTGATGATCCGCAGCAAGTCTTGAGGATGGTTCCAATCCAAGAGGGATTCTTGGTGCATGGTAAGGTCTCTAGATTATCGTTTATTCATAGTGTAGGAGATAGGGAGAAGACCCGCGATTTTATTGGTTTAGGGATAGCCTGGATGAGGAAATCTCTCTACAAATTCAAGTGGGCACCTTCTCAGTGATTCATAGTCTTGGAGAGCTTCCTAGAGCACTGATAAGCATTGACTTCTCCAAAGTCACACAGCCCATAAATGTCAGCTGACAGAGCACAGCTTAAGCCAAAAGAGGTCAAGTAAATAAGGTACTGTTTAGAAAAAAAGAGTCAGTTGGCCATTTCCAACAAACAGGAGGTGGGATGTTGAAGGAATAAAAAAGGAAAGGAAGAAGAATCAGGGAAGATTACCCTAAGGACACATTTCATCAGATCCTTTATCTTGAGGAGATGGTGTAAGATAGAAGAAAACTCAATGGGTTTGTCATTCTAGACCTGAAGTCAGAATTTCACCTGGCCAACGTCCAATTGCTGTAATGTTGTGAGTTATTCTTCCTCCAGATGCCTCTTCCCTTTAGCTGAACACCCAATTTCTTCCTCTCTACATTTAGAATGAACATTGGGAAAGGAGCTCTTAGCAGGAACATCTCATACTAGAGATCCTTTGTGGTTTCAAGGGGACTCACTTCAAGGTATAGGGAAGTAAACACAGTTGCTCATTAGCCAAAATATAGCATGAGATCATGTGTGGTTTGGTTTGGGTTTGGGGTTTCTGCTACTGCCTGCTTTACAGAATGCTTGGGACAGGCCAGGGAAGTTGAGGGCACTGACTTTGCCTGGGCTTTTCTTAGCCTTTCTTCTCACTCAGATTCTTTTGCATCCCATTCAAGAAGGATGGAGGCCAGAAGTGCCTCTTGGAGCCTAGCCTCCACAATGAGCTGTGGGGTTTCTTCCATAGAGGTCCAAGAAATAGCTTTTAGGAGCTCAAAATGCTCAAAGGGGATGAGACTTACAAAGATTAATGACCCAGGCCAATGGACTGCAATTCAGCCACAGACATCAGAGATTTAACGAAAAGAATCTTAACTTGAGGGTATGTGCCTGATTTATCTTTGGCTCCTCCTTAGTTAGTATGGCTGCTTATAGTTTGGAAGATGGTCACTGCATCCTAGAAGATGGAAGCCAGGATAAGAAGTAGGTGGAAGACATGATCTCCAGGCTCTTCAACTTTTGTACATCTCATTTTGAGCTGGAGCTAGGTGGTGCGACGGATAGAGTGCCAGGCCTGGAGTCAGGAAGACCTGATTTCAAACACAGCCTAAGACACTTACTATGTGTGTGGCACTGGGCAAGTCACTTAACCCTGTTTGCCTCAGTTTACTCTTCTGTAAAATGAGTCAGAGAAGAAAATGGCAAGAAATCCCCAAAAGAGATTATGAAGAGTTAGACACGACTGAAACAACTCAACAACAACGACAACAACAACACTCACTTTGGACTTCTCAGACTTCTCCATCATGCCCCTCAGCAGACTCATCATTGGAAAATCTCATCATCCGGCAAGATCCGGTGAGCCCTGGTGTTCCCAACTCATCGGTGCCCTCTGACCCTCTGATTATAGGGTGGAATGACTTGTCCAAAATTATGTGAGTACTAAGCCTCAGAGCCTGCATAAAGGCATGAATCAGACCCTAAAGGTTTAACCCTAAATTTCCCTCTGAGTTTGAGGGTTTTTTTTTTCCATTTTGAGGCAGTAGAATTGATCTGGAGTCTTACAGAGAAAGGGAAAGTCTTTTTCCCCATTTCTAGGTAAATGGGCTTCCTGTGGAGCTGGGTTTTGGTTCATTCATTCTGAGAGCCATACAGGTATCACCTCTGCCCATACTCTACTTCTCCAATATTCTGCTGTTTGCTTTCAGTTTGCCAAAGAAATAACTTACCCTTAACAATGGTGTGGGCAGCTTCAAAAGCAGTAGAAATGGGAGGCTTTTGATGTGCTGAAGGTAAAAGATTGGAGCTGAGGCAAAAAAAAGCTTTGACTTCCTGGGCCAGCTTGGATAAGGTGGAGAATGCCAGGAAACCTGAAAGACAAGAAGATACTTGTTTAGACTAGGCGACTTCCCAAGTGCCTTCTAATTCTGACCAAGGACCCTGTGAGTCTGTGAACCAGAAACCATGAGGGAGTATTCAGCACCTTGGACAACAACCTTAGAAATCATAACTACTGACTGCTCAGTGAGGGAATCACAGAGCTCAAGAATCTCCAAGTTGGACCTCAGAAGTCATCAGGTCTCAGCCACCCTGCACCACCATCTGACAAAATGAGCAGCAAGTGTCTCACTGACCACTAATATTTTCTGTCTCTTTTTCAGCTCACTGGTTCTTAATTTGTGCCTATGTGAACAAATGTCTGGTCAATTCAGTCAACTCAATCAAGTGAACTTGGGGTATTTTTGTGAGGCAATCAGGGTTAAGTGACTTGCCCAGGGTCACACAGCTAGTAGGTGACAAGTGTCTTCTTTTTCTACACTTTCTGTGCTTTGTTCCTTCTTCTACCCTCTGGAACCAAGCTGAATAAATCTTCCCTCTTGCATGCCAAACCCTCCAGAAACCTGAAGATAGAGGTGTGATCTGTACCTCCTCCTGCTGCCTGCTGCTTCCACCCCTCTCCATCTTCTCTTTTCCAGCATACAGCCAGTACCCAGTTCTAGCTGTTCTACTCATTCTTCCCACAAAAAAGCTTTGACATCAAGAAGGAGGGAAAAGATGGAAGTTCTCAGACCAGAGGCTGTCTGACCATACCAAAAGGTTGCCCTGAGAATGGCCCACATAATATATCTTCTGTCCAGTTTTTCTCACAGTGTAGTCAACTGAGGCTGGGAGGTCATATCGAGCCAATTCATCAACACTGCCAAGAGACAAACAAGTACAACAAAGTCAGATCTACATCAGGGCTATGATGTCAACATAAGACTAACCACACCTCTTTCATGTCTTATGTGAATAGAGAATGAAATTCTTGTTCTACAAGAATCTCTATCTCTGGTGGTCTTACAGATGTGTCAGAATTATGCTAGAAAAACTCACTAAAGTAGCCAGAACCAGATTAAAATGTCATTGGGAAATGTTTACTAAAATAAATAAAAATACAATGGAACATACAGGTATAGAGGTTCATTTGAAGTAATGCCAAGGTATCACAGAAAAGCAGACACCAGGAGAGAATGTCATCAGGATTTGAGTGATTTTTTTCAAGGCAAAATTTGAAAGAATTATCATTGAGTGAAACTAAATAAAGATGCGATTTCATCCTTTGCTACTGTTGGACTGAAAGCTCAAAGTCACATGAAACCTATATATGAGTTTTCCCTACCTGAAGGCCCAGTATTATTTGGAATCTGGTGACAAAAAGGCATGTTTCCGGGAATAGGTACTCCCCCTGCTGTTTCCCATCCACACATCAAAACCTGCATCTGCTAGAATGAAGCCCAGGCTGCAGTTGGGAAGGTTGGAGACCCAGGTGGTAGATGTTGCCAAAGACCATGCCGCAAAAACACGACAAGCCTCTGATCTGAAAGGGAAATGTTTTGAACGCTCACAACCAAATTTGTGCCATGTTGACACAATGTCTCCTTGTTCTTGTGGACTTTGGATTTCTACAGAATTGTATAGATCACAGGACCAAAGAGTTGGCTTTACAGCCACCAGTGGGGGGGTATAAAAAAGGCTGACATTTTGTTTAAAAGAAGTTTTCTTGAGCTATGCATTTCCAGATTCAACTTCAGAAGAATACGGTGGGTCCCCTTTGTTTGATTGTCACAGATAAAAAATGGATTCAGTTAAAAGCCCACATTTAAGGACCTAGAAGGCCACATGTGGCCTTAATGCCACAGGTTCCCCGCTCCTGCAGGTTATCAAAGAAATACTAGGCATGCTCCAAAAGAGCCACAGAGAAGATCCTACCGTTGTCAACAGAAAAGACTTCTCAGCCACTCTTAGCAAGAGAAGCCAGGAGCACCTGGAGAACCAGCACATCCCCAGGTTGTGTAACCAATCACCATTCATTGCCTGGAATCTCACTGTCAGGTCCTTCTGTGGCCAGGCTGCTATAGAGACTGGTCAATCTGATTCTCTCAGAAAAAGAGCTTTCTAACCCTCTTCCATGCTCCAACTGGCATCAACATTCTTCTCCTGACCAGGTCTCCCTAAAGGGAGGATAAGGCCTTCAGCTAAGAAAAATTTCCTGCTCTTGGAATGGAGACTGTTAGAAGCGGAAGGGGCCATAGGTTATTCAGCCTGACTCTCCCATTGAAAGAGAAGACAGAGGCCCTGAGACAAGCGGTTTGCCCAAGGTAGCAGCAAACAACAGGGCTGGGATTCAAACCCATATCCTTGCATTGCAAACCCGAGTCTCCTTAACCTGATCAATGCTGGATACATTATTGCCCATTCTTCCACAGGGAACTCTTGTAAGGCTGAGTCTATATGAATCTTCAGTCTCAACTTCATACTCTTCCACTGGGTATTGCCAGGAAAGAATGATTCGACTCTGGTTGGGAAAATAAAAGTGCATTCAGTTATCGGCACATTTGTTTTTATCGTCACAATCCTGAAACCTCATGTCCTGAATAAACATGTGACTTCTCTACTGTGATACTGCTCAAACTCCCAAATCTTTTAAACACTTGGAATCCTAGATACACCAATGAGTTGAGCATGATGTTTCCTAATAAGAATAAAACTCGCAACATTCAATTCAACTTCAGGATTCACAGGTTTGTCCACATGATGGAAAACACATTCTGTTCCCAGTACCCGGATCATAAACAAGTCTCCAGATTTTGTTTCCACCTGCACATGTGAATTAGTGGCACTGTATAAGCTCTGCAAGGCCAACAGTCTTAGCATCACAGATTGAAATGCTCAAATCAATAATAGAAAACCAGGATAAGTTCTTAGTATTATAGACAAATGTAAAAGGGACCTTAGAAGTCATTTCTTTCAATCTCATCAGTGTATGGATGTGGAAACTGAGGCCTAAAGAAGCTTCTCCAAGATCACAGAGGCAAAAAATGGCTAGACAGCACAGTGATGAGTAGCATGTCATGCAATCTATAGTCTGCACATGGGAACAATCATGAATTTAATCTTGCAATTTTTCTGTGCTACCTAAAGAAATAAAGTGTCCTGCTAGGGCCTCATGGAGCCTTCATGGTGTTTGGAAGCTCACCTTAGTAGAACTCCCATGCTGAAGAAACAGTGGAATTTCCAGTATGAATCTCCTCAGCAGGTCCTCGGAAACCTTGATGACTTTAAAGTGGAAGATGCTGGGGCTCAAAAAAGCACAATATACCAAAGGGTAGAACTGAAGGCCTGAGGCAAAAGATAAGAGAGAGGCTAAAAGGAACGTGAATCAGTGCATCTCAGAGAACGGGGAATCCATTTGTCCAAAGTACCTCTGACCTGAACAAGTTGAAGGGTCCTCAGTGATGACACTTTAGACCACACACTCTAAATACTCCTGCAGGAGGTTACATGGATACACCAGCAGAGGATGCAAATTCTTTCCTCTACTTCTCAAGGCACCAGAAAGTGAGGCATGAAATTAAAAGGAATGGAGCAGTAATGCTTTGAAATAATTATCTGTTATCTGTTCTGTGACTCAATTTAGAAGGCTACACCCTTCCTCATCCCCTTTTCCCATAAGCCTTGGCCAAGGCAAAGTGGAAAGCAGGTTGGATTTATGTTCTGTTCCCTTTGGCATGTTCCTCATCTGTTTTTGTCATCTCTTTGCTCTGGGCTCCTGGAATGAAACTACTACTCTCAGCTTTCACCCACAGTCTGAGTCCCAAATTACTCTTGAGTAACATCATCCTAATTAGGCAGCTAAGTGGTGCAAAGGATGGAGTGCCAGGTCTACAGTCAGGAAGACTCATCTTCTTGAGTTCAAATCCCAGTGCAGACACTTACTATCTGTGTGACTGTGGGTAAGACACTTAACCCTGTTTGCCTCAGTTTCCTCATATGCAAAATGAGCTGGAGAAGGAAATGGCAAATCATTTCAGTATCTCTGCCAAGGAAATCCCAAATGGGCTCACAAAGAGTCAGCCATGACAGAAACGACTCAACATCAGGCTCTTAATCCCTTTTTTTCTGAGCTCAGGTAAAGTTGAGGGTTTTATTCTGATTCTTTTTCAGTGCCCCAGGGACTGAGGAAGTTTTGGGTTTTAAGGAATGGATCCAATTCTAGGTTTTCCCTCAAGGAGTGAGCTGGTTTCTAGATCAGCTTTGCCCCAGTGATTTGGGAGGTCTCAGTTTGGATTTTAATGCCCCCAGGTAAGGGGTCCTCCCCTAAGAGAGGGAGGGGATTTTTGGATTGGTTTTTGCCTCCTGGAAGTTTTACATTTGCCTCAGGGATTGGAGAAGTTAGGGTTAGGTTTGATTCTCCTCAGGGATTGGGGTGGTTTAGGTTTAGTTTAAGTTCACCCCAGGGACTGGGGCAGTTTACGTGTAGATTCAGTATTCCTGAGAGATTCAAATTTAGGTTTGACTCAGAGATTGGGGAAGTATAGTGTTAGATTTGGTTTGCCCCAGGGAGTGGGGTGGTCTAAGATTAGTTTTCCCTCCAGGAGTGGAGAAGAATTATGGGTTCCTCTATGATATTCCACCTTGTAAAAATGTCTTTTGGCATGAGACCAGGGTAATAGCCTCTGGTAAATTGACACCCCTCTGGGAGAAATTTTATTGGTCTGGAAACAGGTGTAGCATTCCATACAGGAGTAGAAAAGGTGACTAAAAGATAGAGCTCTTAAATTATGTTAAAACACATAAAAAGCCAAATGGGTCCCAAAATTGGCCAGAAGAAGGGACTTTTGATTGCAATTAAAAATTGCGCATACTTTTTCTGTCTTTTCATTTTGTCTCTGTTTTTTGTGTTTTTGTAAAATGTGGGAAAATCTTTGTCTTTTGTCCTATTTGTGTTGTTTGCAGATTCTGTTACCTTGAAAGATTTATTAAAGAGAAAATGCGGCCAGCCAGCAAACCCACTAAAAGATTGTACCCAGAGTTTAGGATTCTAAGGAAAATTAATGAAGTTTCATACTTGAAGCAGTTGTCCTAGTAAACAGTACTAACTCCCACTTTAAGCTTTCAGCAGGAGATTAAGTCATAAGAAAAGAGAAAAAAAAACTCTGCAAGATTTTTTTTTTGGGGGGGGATAGGCAATGGGATTAAGTAACTTGCTCAGGGTCACTCAGCTAGTGTCAAGTGTCTGAGGCTGAATTTGAACTCAGGTCCTCTTGACTCCGGAGCTAGAGCTTTATCCACTGTACCATCTAGCTGCTACAAGACAATTTTTCTTCTGTCATTTCAGCCTTGGCCACATTGGAATTACAGAAATAAAGCTGGATAACCAAAGTTTATAGAACTGCTAAATCTTATCAAATTTTGGAAGTCTGGAGATTAAGGAGTTAAGAGGGAGAGTAATCATTTTAAGATTATTTATACTCTGTGATCGAATTATACTATAAGGACAATATTTTCCAAAAGGAGAAATTAGACAAAGTAATAAGAAAAGATGTATTGTAAATGTTTTCTAATTAAATGGAATAGTAAATTTTGAGAAAACAACAGTATTAGATTTTTTCCTCTAAGCACTATGTACATATGTATATGATTGGCTTCCAAATGTATACCATATGGAAATTTAGGCTTTGATGGTTTTACTAATAAATTCTCAAAATTGGATTAAGGATTTACATATAACATTGTATCAATAATTTTAAACAAAGTGAAATAATTTCCCCAATTTAAAGGGTTTTTTTCTGATAACATTAAAGACAGAAGAGTTCATTTTTCAAGTTAGAACCTCATGAGCTTTTACAGTGGAGCAGAAAATGTAATGTGGTAGCAGACAACACTTGAACTTCACTTTCACCAGAATTAGTTGAAAGAGGAAAGAATACATACACATACACACACACACACACACACACACACACAACACATTTGGTTGAGTGTAGAAACTGATCTTATCCAATAGGGAAATAAGAGGAGAAGGGGATAAGAGAAAAAGGGGAATGAAAAAAGGAGGGCAAATTAGGGGAGGGAGTGGTCAGAAGCAAAACAGACATTACAGGGTTAAAAGAGAGAAGCATAAACAGAAGAAAATAGGATGGAGAGAAATTCACAGTTAGTAATGATAATTGTGAATGTGAAAGGGATAAAGTCACCCATAAAATAGAAGTTGTTAGAAGAATGGATTAGAAACCAGAATTCAACAATATGTTCTTTATAAGAAACACCCTTGAAACAGAAAGACACACAGAGAGTTTAAATAAGGGGCTGGAACAGAATCTACTATGTTGCAGCTGAGGTAAAAAAAAAAAAGACAGGGGTAGCAATAATGTTCTCAGTGAAAGCAAAAGGAAAAAGAGATCTAATTAAAAGAGATAATCAGGGAAACTACATTTTACAAAAGGTACCATAGACAATGAAGTAATATCAGGGCTAAACATATAAGCACCAAATGGCATAGCATTCAAATTCCTAAAGGAAAAGTTAAACAAGTTGCAAGAGGAATAGACAGTAAAAGTATACTAGAGGGAAACCTCAATTTGCTTCTCTCACTTTGAAAAATGTTGTAATTGCTCATGGGTAGGCCAAGTAAATACAATAAAAATGTCATTTCTATCTAAATTTATTTATTCAGGTCAAGGAGAAAAAACTGCAAGCAGCCAGAAAGAAACAATTTGAGTATGGTGGGGCTACAGTCAGGAGAACACAAGATTTAGCAGCTTCTACATTAAAGGAATGAGGGCTTGGAATATGATATTCTGGAGGTCAAAGGAGCTAGGATTACAACCAAGAATCACCTACTCAGCAAAACTGAGTGTAAATTAGGAAAGAGAAATCACAAGGGACTTATTAAAGTGGAACTGTTTACATTCCTACATGGAAAGATGATATTTGTAACTCATGAGACCTTTCTCATTATTAGGGTAGTTGGAGGGAATATATATAGACATACAGCACAGGGTGAATTGAATATGAAGGGATGATATCTAAAAAAATAGAATTAAGGGGTAAAAGAGGACTGTACTGGGAGAAGGAGAAAGGGAGAGGTAGAATGGGATAAATTATCTCACATAAAAGAGGCAAGAAAAAACTTTTACAGTGGAGAGGAAGAAGGAAGAGGTAAGAAGGAATGAGTGAACTTTACTCTCATTGGATTTGGCCTAAGGAGGGAATAACATACACACCCAATTGGGTATGGAAATCTATCTTATCCTATAGGAAAGCAGGGAGGTGGTGAAAGAGAGGGAGGGTGATAGAAGGGAGGGCAGATTCAGGGAGGGAGTAATCAGAAGCAAACACTTTTGAGGAGGGACAAGGGCAAAGAATAGAATAAATGGGGGCCAGGATATCGATGGAGGGAAATATATTTGGTCTTCCACAACACTACTATTAGGGAAGTGTTTTGCATACTGTGCATGTATAGCCTACGTTGAATTACTTGCCTTCTCAATAAAGGTGGGTAGAGAGGGAGAAGCGAAGAGAATTTGGAACTCAAAGTTTTAGAAATGAATGTTAGAAATTGTTTCTTCATGCAACTGGGAAATAAGATACATAGGCAAAGGGGTATTGAAATCTATCTCACCCTACAGGAAAATAGAAGGGGAAGAGGATGGGACAGGGTAATAGAAGGGAGAACAGATTAGGTGAAGGGGGAATAATATGCAGGTTGTCATGGGGTGGTTGGGATGGGAGGGATGGCGAAAAATTTGGAACTCAAAATTTTGTAGAAGTGAATGTTGAAAACTAGAAATAAATAAATAAATTGGAAAAAGAAAAAAAGAAAGAAAATAAGAAAGCAATCATTATTTCATGGATAGCAATGAAAATCAGTACATGTGATATGTTTGCAGGGCAAAGAATTTAAAAGGGCATCTTCTGTGTTGAGAAAATCTCAGCATCAAATTTTGGTTGTTACTGGAGGAAGCAAAACAAAGAATGTTTCACCCCTATCCTAAAAAGAGGGTAAAAAAGGATGAAGGCAGTTTATTAGATGATGGGGAAAGGCTAAAGGGTCCTAAAAGTAAGGTCCTCAGGGTATCTGTTGAACAGCTACTAAGTGACCAGAATGGTCCTAGGCACTATGGGGATACCTAAAAATAAGATATGGTGCCTTGCAAATTAACATTTACAAAACTATAACTATAACATGCTAACCTGTGTTTTTTACCTAGAGTGCGAATCTCTGAGAAGAGAGATTGGTATGGACTGGAAAAGACAGAGGAGACTTCACAGAGAAATTGTGGGATTAGACTATATAATCTTTAAAGTTTCTTCCATCAGTAAAGGCCCAGATACATTTTTCATTAAAAAAAAAGTGTCAACCTCTACAGTTGGGTCTAAGAAAGACAAACAGAATTAGGCTGCATGCTTGTTTATTTCTTTCAAAGCAGGCAAACATGCATATGAATGCATGGGAGCTGCAGTTGTAAAATGAGCTCACTTTGGGATTAGGCTGTGCAGATTACAGAGGCATGAAGCAAAGAAGAGCCCCCAACTCAGGGTGCCTGCCCAAGTCTCATCTGGTCTTGTGATTGCTAACATAGCAGAAGAATTTTTGGTTTCACTCAGAGAACATTGCAAGGCATTATGCTAGTATATTAGAATTGTAAAAATAAACAAATAATTGTATTTGCTATACATTATAAATAACATGTGAGCAAGTTATTCTCCCCACTTTCCCCCACCCTTACCAGGCAGAATGGACTATAAACCTCTTGAAGGAACGATTTTATGTTTTTTCTTTGTATTTCCAGGTACCTAGTAATTGGGGGGAGGAGGGCAAAGAAAGGTACGTGATTTCTTCACTTAAGGTAACTAATCCCTTGGTGTGGAAATCCCATCTTGGAAGCCAGCTCACCTGCTGTTTTATAATTTAGTCTTGCAAAAATTGCCAGGGCCATTTTTCTCCATTTGGCAAGTAAGTCCGATATTTGCTGATTAGGGTGATTTCTGGGCTCTTTTGGCATCTTTGTTGAAGTAATTAATTTAGATTGTTTTGATTTCTAGATTAAATTATTATAATTTGCATCAATGCAATTTCTCTTGTTCATTTGCCATTTTTTATTTTCAATAGCTTATTTAAATAATACATACACCCATATGTGTGTATACAACCCATATAAAATATATGCTAGATAAATACAAGGTAATTTTGGGGGAGGGGGAGATGCTGCTGGAAGTTGGAGCAAAGTCAGTAAAAGCTTTTTGTAGGAGGTGGTGTTTGACTTGAGTTTGAAGGAAACTAGAGATTCTAACTAGGAATTCCTGGGCAAATCACTTAACTTTGTGTGACTCAGTTTCCTTATCTGTAAAGTGAGGTGAAGAAGGAAATGACAAACCACTTCAGTATCTTGGCCAAGAAAACCCTAAATGATGGTGGACAAGGGATTCTAACAGGCCAGCATGAGGAAGGAGAAAACCCTAGGCATGAGGGATGATAGCAGGTGAAAAGGTACAGAGAGTGATAGAATATAGTGTGTAAGGAAGAGGAAAAAAGATCCTTTTGGCTAGAGTTTAAGCAGTAGGTAATTTCATTTTGTGTCATATTACCTATTACAGAAATAAAACACCTTCTCCTCAACATCGAACCCTTTCCTGTATGTATGTTCACAGTTCCAGAGCAGGAATTCTTAAATTGGGGGCCTATAACTTTATTTCAATGCCTTGATAAATATTTCAATAAAATGATGTATTTTGTTATGTATTCAACATATTTAAAAATATTTTTCTGAAAAGGGATCCCTAGGCTTTACCAAACTTCCAAAGACATCCTTGGTACAAAAAAGGTAGAAATTAGAAGCTTTAGAAATTATCTCATTATTATCTCACAAGGTATTCCCAGTTTCCCATTTCTTTGGTGATAATTGGTTACTGAAAATACCTTATAGTTGCATACCTAGCTCCACACTAACTCTTACAAATTCAAAGTTAAAAGCCTAAACCTTCTGACTGTTTGAATGAGAAGTTATAAGACTGACAGAACATCTGAACTGGGGATTAAAGAGGGAAGTATTTTTACACATCATTTGGGGATAGAAATCTATCTTACCCTATAGGAAAGTAGGAGGGGAAGGGCATAAGAGAAGGTGGAAGTGACAGAAGGGAGGGCAGACTTGAGGAGGGATAGTCAGAAGCAAAACACTTTTAAAGACGAACAGGGTGAAAGGAGAAAGAGAATAGAATATTTTTTTTGGTGAGGCAATTGGGGTTAACCGACTTGCCCAGGGTCACCCAGCTAGTGTTATGTGTCTGAGGCTGGATTTGAACTCACATCCTCCTGACTCCAAGGTCAGTGCTCTATCCACTGAAACACCTACCTGCCCCAAAAGAGAATAGAATAACCGGGGGGGGGGCGTAGGGGGAACAGATGGAGGGAAATACAATTAGCAATAGTAACTGCAAAAAAATTTTGAAAGCAAGTTTCTCTGATGAAGGCCTCATTTCTCAAACATATAGAGAACTGAGTCAAATTTATAAAAATAAGAGCCATTCCCCAATTGATAAGTGATCAAAAGATATGATCAGTTTTCAGATGAAGTAATCAAAGCTATCTATAGCCATGTGAAAAATATTCTAACTCACTATTGATTGGAGAAATGAACACTGAAACATACCTCATACCTATTAGGTTGGCTAATAGGACAGAAAAAGTAAATCCCAAATGTTGGAGGGGATGTAGGAAAAATGAGACATTAATGCACTGTTGGTGGAGTTGTGAACTGATTCAACCATTCTGTAGAGCAATTTGGAACTACGCCCAAAGGGCTATAAAACCAGGTATACCCTCTGACTTAGCAATGCCACTAATATATCTGTATCCCAAAAGAGATTTTAAAAATAGAAAAGGACCTGTGTGTGCAAAAGTATTCATAGCTGTTTTGTTTGTTTTGTTTTCTGGGGAAAAATAATTGAAAATTGAGGGATGCCCAGCAGCTGGGAAATGGCTGAACAAAGTATGGTATGTGATTGTAATGGAATACTATTTTACTATAAGAAATGATGAGTAGGATGCTCTCAGAAAAACCTGGAAAGACTTCCATGGGCTGATGCGAAGTGTAATGTACTATTTACAAAGTAACAGCAATATTGGAGGACGATCAGCTGTGGATGACTTAGCTATTCTCAGCAATGCACCGATTCAAGAAAACTCTGAGGGATAGCTACTGGTATTGTGGATGGAGGTCCCTCCTAAGAGTCAGGAGGATCTGAGTTCAAACCCGACCTGAGACACTTGACATTTACTAGCTGTGTGACCCTGGGCAAGTCACTTAACACTGATTGCCTCCCCCCTCAAAAAGTATCACTGATAAATGAGATCACATTTCTTGGGGCAGCTGGATGGTGCTGCACTGGCTCTGAAGTCAGAAGGACCTCAGTTCAAATCTGGCCCCAGACACATGATATTCACTACCTGTGGGACCCAGGGCAAGTCACTTAACCCCAATTGTCTTGCAAAAAAAAAAAAAGGAAAAAAAGACAACTCTGAAGGACTTATGATAAAAAATGCTATCCATCCCCAGAGAAAGAACTGATGGTATCTGAATATAGACTGAAGTATACTTTTCTTTTAACTTTATTTTTCTTTTATTAATTTATTTTGATTTATCAACAATCACTTCCATATGCTTTTGAGTTGAAAATTTTTCTCCCACTTCCTCCCCCCCACCCTCCCCAAGATGGCGCACAATCTGATATAGGCTTTACATTTACATACCCATTAAACATGTTTTCACATTAGTGAAGTTGTAAGTAAAAATTAAAACCAATAGGAGGAACCATCAGAAAGGTGAAACAAAACTCAACAGAAGGTAAAAATAAGTGATAGCGATTCGACTTCCATAGTTATTTCTTTGGATGTGGACAGCATTTTCCATCCCAAGGCCTCGGAGATGTCTTAGATCCTTGTAATGCTGAGAAGGGTTCAGTTTAACAGTATCAGTCTTCACATAACGTGGCTGTTATCGTGTACAAAGTCCTCTTCGTTCTGCTCACTTCACTCAGCGTCAGTCCATATGAGGCTTTCCAGGTTTTTCTGAAGTCAGCCTGTTCATCATTTCTTATAACACAATAGTATTCCATTACATTCATATACCACAACTTGCTCAGCCATTCCCCAGTTGATGGGCATCCTCTCAATTTCCAATTCTTTGCCACCACTAAAAGAGCTGCTATGAATATTTTTGTACATGTGGGTGCTTTTCCCATTTGTTTGATCTCTTTGAGATGTAGCCCTAGAAGTGCTATTGCTGGATCAAAGGGTATGAATGTTTTTGTAGCCCTTTGGCCATAGTTCCAAGATGTTCTCCAAAATGGTTGGATCATTTCACAACTCCACCAACAATGTATTAGTGTTCCAATTTTCCCACACCTTCTCCAACATTTATCATTTTCCTGTTTTGTCATGTTGGCCAATCTGATAGGTGTGATGTGGTACCTCAGAGTTGTTTTGATTCACATTTCTCTAATCAGTAACGATTTAGAGCATTTTTTCATATGACTATAGATGGCTTTAATTTCTTCATCTCAGAACTGTCTGTTCATATACTTTCACAATTAATCAATTGGGGAATGGCTTGTATTCTTATAAATTTGTCTTAATTCTCTATATATTTTAGAAATGAGGCCTTTATCAGAGAGACTGGTTGTAAAAATTCTTTCCCAATTTTCTACCTTTCTTCTAATCTTAGTTGCATTGGCTTTGTTTGTGCAAAAACTTTTCAATTTAATGTAATCAAAATGATCCATTTTGCTTTTCATAATGTTCTCTATCTCCTGTTTGGTCATGAATTCTTCTGTTCTCCATAGATCTGATAGGTAAACTATTCCTTGTTCTCCAGTTTACTTATGGTACCAGCTTTTCTATCTAAGTCATGAACCCATTTTGACTTTATTTTGGTATATGGTGTGAGATTTGGGTCTATGCCTAGTTTCTGCTATACTCTTTTCCAGTTTTCCCAGCAGTTTTTTTCAAAGAGTGGGTTCTTATCCCAGAAGCTGGGGTCTTTGGGTTTATCAAATAATAGATTACTATAGTCATTGACTACTGTGTCTTGCATATTTAACCTATTCCACTGATCCACCTCTATTTCTTAGCCAGTACCAAGCAGTTTTGATGATTGCTGCTTTATAATACAATTTAAGATCTGGAATTGGTAGGCCACCTTCCCCTGCATTTCTTTTCATGAGTTCCTTTGATATTCTGGACCTTTTATTTTTCCAAATGAATCTTGTTATTATTTTTCTAACTCTATAAAATAATTTTTTGGTAGTTTGATTGGTATGGCACTGAATAAGTAAATTAGC